ATATATATATATATAAAATAATGCGCTTGTTGTCTTCTTTGGGTTTCTCCTGCTATTATAATGTTAATGTTTGGTTGGTATAGTAATGTTTGCTCGTTCTAATTGTTATAAATTTAAACTTCAACACTGGTTTGGATTGGTTTGGTATTTTTCTCAGTTGTGAGTCTGATTCAGAGTTAGCTGTTGGCATTTATTTAAATACTGTATATTTTGCAAGTTAGTGATCAGAACTAATCTAACCTTTTCATGTTATTTTTGCTGTATGAAAAAAATATTATTGTGCAATAGGAAGGGTAGGGAGATCTATGGGCACATCAGCCCCACCAAGAGATATTTCTCACCAGCCTCCACTGCTGACCCATAGAATGGTACATTAAGCTTGGTCATCCATTACCATTATTTAATAGTAAATTAAAGTCCCCCAGCTCATTATGACACGGCCCACTTGCACCTGCGCTCCGAAACCAGACAGGGTTACACCTTACCAAATAAGGACATGTGGTAAAGCTGCGCAGGGATGACGTTGGACGTGAAAATGGAAAAGAAAAAAGAAAAAAGAACGGGTCCACGTGAGTGCGGTTCAGGTGCAGACCGAAAACAGAGGGGGAACACCGGCCTAATCTCGTTACATAAGAAGCCACTGAGTCTGCAGACTCCCTCTGCGGTAATCCTCTGAACTATTCATGTTCAATTGTCCCGAGGCGACACACTTAACGCACAGGGCGCAGTCACTTTGCGCACACTTGTGGCTCCGTGCTGCTTTTGGAAGGCGCGGAGTCTATGTGGAGGGCAAAAAAAAAAAAAAAAAAAAAAAAGTGCTGGAAGCGGGTAGCGATCGGTGGCTACAGTCGGCGTATTAACGCTTTCTCTGCTGCAGAGGCTGCCGTTGCCTCTTTTTGCAGCTGGCGGCTCATTGCGCTGTTGGGGCCGTGACGATTCCGCTGACGCGCCACTAGCCGCACCACCCAGGAGACAGAAGTGGAGAGCGACGGAGCGGGGCTGGACACCGGACTCTTTCTTCTCCTCCTTCCTCTTCTAACGCGGACGAACGGCTTTTTGTCCACCTGCAAGTCGATATTTACGCAGCAATCAGAGCGGCAGCATCAGCCCCGACTCCCCAGCAGCGATGGAGGTTCCAGGCTTGGCGCACAATATCACCAGCCCGTTAAGTCCCTGCGAGGGGATGATCAAGGACCTGAGTCTGGATTCCATACAGTTATGCGAAAGAGACGGTGAGTGTGTGTTACTGTAGTTCTTAAGTGGAAGAGGGGGAGAGAAAGAGGGCCAATATAAACGCTGCTTTTAGTTGGAACGGCGTGCAGAACCCGTATAGTTTTGCATGAGGGATGAGGGCCGGTGACTCCGCAGGTTGCTTAGGCAGATAAATTGTGCGCTTTTTATATCCGTGGAGAGAACATAGCTGAATACATTTACATTAATAATGGAGAAGAAGTCCTTTGTTGGAAATAACTGTCTGTCTCTGCAGACTGAGCGTGCACATGTTGGCAACTGATAAGCGCCTTTTCATTTCAGCACCACAGGCGTGGACAGAGAAAGGCACCAACCCCGCCTATAGCTTATCATTACTTCTGTTCATTTTCTCTTTGAGAAAACCCTGCCCCCCCCCCCCGCCCCCCTCCCCAGCCTCGTCCCCAGTTCGTTTGCAGTAACTTCTCTGCATTTTATAACTCAAAATTTCACGGTATCTCATTAAACCACGTTTGTGGTCTGTGACTGACTTCTCATCAAAGTTCTAGAATTAGGAGGCAGGAAAAGCAAAACAAAGCACACGAACGTCGTTTTAAATATAGCATGCTGCTCATGTGAGAGTTAAAATTGAATTTGTTCATATTCCTCATGTGAAACAGTTGATGCTGGTAGGAGAGGGGAAGGGGGTGGGGTTAGAGGGGGGGTGGGGGGGGAGAGAGAAAAAGCAAGTCATCATGAGAAGAGAATGAAAAGCTAAAACATGGCTGCACCCACAAGAGCGTGCACAGGCGGTGCAGCCCCGCACACCCATCAGTGCAATTACACAGCACTGATTCCACATCTGAGGCTTGGTCGCAGAGATGCCAGTTCACATAGATTAATTGTAGATTAATTCACTGATGCACCGATGAAATATGTTCACATTGTTCTATCTATATATATAACAAAACGACAGTGGTTTATCTCCATTAATGCTCCCCCAGCATCTGATCACTGTGAAGCAATAGTGGGCACATTTTCTCCTTTACCCCCATCTACTTCACATGCTGCTATACAACAGGGTGCATCCGTATCCCCTTGGCGCTTTGTTGCTTCCTCTCTGGCGCTTTCATATCAGCAGATTTCCAGGCAGGGTTTTAGGGTGAGTCTCGTATTTGCAGCACAGTTACTCGTGGAAGTAGTAGCTAAGTCTTTGTCCTTGAGACGCCCACATACTCTCTGTTGCTGTGTTGCTCCGTCAACAATGTCCACTCTCTTTCTAAACACAAGATGGGTTGTTGTGATTTAAAATATTCATGCGACGTGTCACTTGGAACAACGGCAGTGTTGTAATAACCATTTGCAAGCCTTTATCATGTCTTTATGTTTTAATGCTAAAAAAAAGTACTAAATCTTTATGCAGTTATTGTCGGTCATCAGTCTAAAAATCTAAGGTTTGTTTTTGACAACAAAAAAAAAAGCAACTATTTATTCATGTATTTATATTTTAATTCATGTTGTTTAGTTTTATGAGGCACATACTGATTATTGGGACCTTTACTGCCACAGACCAACCATCAGTTCCTGACCTTAAATTCAAGCTCACCTTGGTTTTGCTTATGCAGCAGGGCAATGATTCACACTGAGCCCTTTGGATGTCCACTTCTGAAGGACTCAATTAAAAATAAAATTAAGATTTTGGACTAAGTGTGAATTAAATTAATTGAGATTCTGTTGGATGACCTTAAACATGCTGTGGCTGAATGAAGATAATGGTCCAACGACTAGGTCACAGCTCCCTCACAGCAATGGAAAAGACAGTAATCACAAATGCTTGATGGCAGATAACCAGTTATTAGGTTTGGAGGTTTGGGTAGCTTTTTCTCGTAATGAGTGAAAACATCATGTTGTATTTTTTTTTTTGCCTAATTTTGAAATTAGTTGAAGAACTGAACCGTCTCAGTGTGACAAAACGAGCAAAAACAAAAAGAAGTCGGTACCGTGGCACAGACTTTGTTGAACGTAAGCACACAAACTTAAAGCAGCTCCCTCTCTCTCATGCTTTCATTTCAGCTGGCACTCTGTGCATGAAATTCCTCCCAGAAAAGGCATTGCACTCCTCACTGTCTCTCTCGCATTCACTTTCGTCCTTCTTGGAAACCCGGCGTCATCACATCGGATCGATGCCGGCCGCATCGCTTTCTGTTTTTACTTTCTAAATTTATCCGTATCCCCATTAATATTTAATCGTCCGCGTGAGAGGCTCGAACGCCCAGGCTGAGCCAGCGAATGAACGCATGGAGTGCCCTCACACACACACACGGAGGTCTGTTAGAGCTTTTCAATGCACAGTGGGAAACAAGTTGTTTCTGTGTTCCCCGTGTCAGAGATGGGGTTAATGGTTCACTGTACTCATGTGGCTATGGCATGTGTATCTTCAGCACTCGGAGGGGGTGGGGGATGTTTTACTGAGGGCAAAACTGTAGAATCAGCTCAAGTGAATAAGTTAGACTTGTATTGAGTTGTGCTGGTGGTTTTTGGTGCCGTGTCCTTCACCAGTCTATGAGTGCAACTCATCAGGGTGTGAAACGTCCCAGCTTCTCCTGTGGTGAAGAATCCTTCCTCTTGATATATACACAGTATATCTTCATAATGACTGTTCAGTGGTCTTTATTTGGTTCATTGAGCCAGCTGCCAGTTTTATGGCTTTTGGTTCATAAAACTTGCCTTTTCCACACAGAGCGATGAGATGCAGCTCATTTGATGATTTTGCCAGAGACCAGCAGGCCTGTCTTCTGACATAAATCCATGACTGTGCTGGCAAAACCTAGAAATGCAATGCTGCCACGACTATTTGTTGAATTGTCTGTTGATTGTAATGCAAAATACTAAAATGTCATCGTACTCATGGGTATTTACATGCATTTAGGCCTATAACTGTAAAAAAAAAAAAAAAAAAAGGATACTTGAATTTAAATTGCAAATGAGAAATAATGAGTCATTCTGGTTTTGGACAAGTAAAAAAAAAACATGTTTTGTTCTCCAGCTTAAGTTGATTTGGTGGAAAAAAAATAAAAATAAAAAGCTACTTATTTTTATTGAGCATGGCTAAAGGTGGAATAAATAACTTAACCCCAATGCAGCACACTGTTTATCACACTCTGAAAGATGTTTTTGCCATTGGCAGCTTCTCAGGCTCACAGCGTGGTTCCTAGCCTGTGCTGCAGCTAAAAGAAAGCTGTGATCTGTTTTTTTTTTTTTTTTCTTCCTCCAAAGAGCCCGGAGTATCTATGCTGACTAATATTGCCTTCTTTGTGTTTACAGCTCAATTTTAGACTCGCGCCCTGCGCTTCAGATGGCTTGTTTAAGTGCGCTCTTGTGCTGTCAAACTACCATCTAGCTTTTATTTCTCTCAAACTCGCTACTGTCAGAGCTCTCAAATGGAGCTGTAGTCATACATGGTGGACAACGGCAACCACACAGAGATCATATCGAAGCAGTTCAGACAGACTCAATTGAAGCAGTGAATCCGGCTGAAATGTAAACACTCAATATCTCCAGGTGTGACTAGACGGAGCTGCATATGCATCTTAACAAGATATTCATTGATGTTTTATATTCTTACATCTCTTGAGTGTGAACTTCCTGCCCAGCAAACGCAGTTGCAGGCATCAAGATTGTTTGTTTGGAGTTTAAATAAGTTTGGCCGACCAGTTTCCTGCAGAGCAGCCGTCCCTGCATCCCGACACGCGGTGCTCTGCTGAAGCATGCAGAGGTCTCCTGGGTTTGTTGCAATCTCCTCTGGGAGCTGCATAATGAATCTGTGCTTCTGCACTCTTAAATAATGTCTCCTAATAAACTGCCTCGTTTTTTTTTGCTTAATCATGATGCGCCAAGAGCCCAGCCTCCTCCTTCCGTGCAGCAGAGCGTTACAGTCCGTCAGAGGAGGAGGCAAAACAACAGAAGCGCATCATAATATGTGTTTGTGGTAACATTACACGGCGGCCAAATTAAGCGCTTAGCGAATCCAGGAGGAAGGAGCCGAGGGCGTAATGCTGGCAGATTAATTTAAGTCTGGATGAGGGTGAAGGCCTCCTGCGAGAGACTGAAGACTTTACTTGTTCTCACAGCCTGACCTTCATCCAGCTTGACTCTCGCCCCACCATTTTTCATCCTGCGCTCTCCGAGTCCCCGAAGGTTTAAGGCCGACTTCAGTTTCCCACAGAAAGGGCCTGGCTTATCTTGTTTACATTTAGTGGTTTTGGTCCTACAGTGCCGCGAAAACAGAGTTTTCATACCCCTTGAGCATTCCCCTCCCCAGCCCCCCCCCCCCCTCCAAAAAAAAAAAAATCCCATTACCTCCTCAAATTTTAATGTCTTTTATTGGGATTATGTGCTATAGGAAAAGACAAAGTAGACCATTTAACAAGTGGTGTGTGTGAGGTGGGAAACTCAAATACAAGCAAAAGGAAGGAAGGCAGATGGATGAGATTTGTTTAGCAGAAAACAGACTGATGAACAAACAGACACAACAGAAAGAAGGAAGATGGGACGGGGGGTGGGGCGGGGGGGGTGTGAGGATTTTCCAGTCTATGCATTAAAATCTGCTCTTATAGCAGTTAATCAAAGACTCAATATTCTGGACTTTTGCTGAGTGGCAGAAGTGAAGGAGGACTGAGAGAGCACTACTGACTTTGTTTTAAGACGTCTAGCTACTCGGTAAAGCTTTGTGTGTGTGTGCATGTGTGTGCGTGCGTGTGTGTGCGTGCGTGTGTGTGTGTGTAACTAAGTAAATAACATGAGAGTTCATATTATTTCTTATCAAAGCCGGTCCTGGCCTGTTTGGCTCTCTGTGTGAACGACCCTCCGCTCCTCAATCCTCCCCCAAGTTGAGTAATGCATTAGGCCCCGTCATAACTCATAACAGTCGCATCCCAAGGGGCCAGTGGGGTGGAGGTTTCCTGCCGCTCTGGGTGGTTGCCCATGTCGCCCCTGTCAGAAACCTCCACCGCGTGTTATACAACTACAAATAACTAAATGAAGT